TCACGCAAGTGTGGAGGCTGCAGGGTGATGCCAGGAATCTTCCTCCACTGTTCCTCATCTTGTTCATCGAACCCAGAGCTCATTCGTGAGGCTAGTCTGGCCAGCCTGCTTGCTCCAGATCCCTGGTCTGCTCCTCTAAGTGCTGGCATGACAGACCGGCCACCAAGCCCACCTAGCATTTACACATGCTCTAGGAACAGAACCCTGATCCTCGGGCTTGAGCAGCCAGCACGACAACCTTTAAGCCACAGCTCCAGCAACGCATGTTCTTATTTTTACTACGACCCCACCAAGAGGGAGAGGGGGAGCCCTTTTCACTTGTGAACAAGTCGACTACAAAAGGTTCCCTCCCAGGATGAGTGAGTGGTTCAACTTGCTAGAAGAAACTAGTGGGAAAGGCCTCTCCCAGGACTAGCCTGGAGGGGGGGTTGAGGGTCTACTTACTGTCTGCTCTTCGCCTCCTCCCCGCTGCCTGCTGTCTTCGACTCCACGGCACTGTTGAAGCTGGAGATGTTTTCAGGAGAGTAGAGGCCAGTGGGGTTGTTGTACTGGTTTGTGATGATCCGGGGGGCACTGCTGGGGGCAGGTGAGGCAGTAAATGGCATCGCGCTTCGGTTGTGGGCACTTCCTATGTGCAGGACCTCCTGAAGGCAGGGAGCAGAGGAGAATTCAGGGAGGCGTCCACCCAGTCCCCGTATCATGTGCAGTATAGGCTAAAAGCCAGGGAAAACTTCCAGCTAAGCTACAGCAGCCCTGGTTCAAATCTATCTTCAGCTGGGGGTAGAGGGGCTCAGGCAAACACAAGGAGACAGCTACCAATGGCCTGAGAGTACCCACAGATGCACTCTCAATCAGCCCCATCATTGCTTCTTCCCCAAAACCCAGCAGATCTGATCTCTGGGGACCTCTGGGAGGATGACGCCTCATGCCTTGGGCTACCAGAACCCAAGTCAGAGCTGAAGAGGCATCCTTTCAGGACACATTCCAGAGGCATTAGGAAGAGGAGAGGTGGCTTAGGTCATCACAAAGCCCTCAATGCCAGAAGGTGTAGATAAATTCCCCAGGTTAGGTCATCACAGAAAGAGGGTGTTGGGAACACGGGAGAAACAGCTGCTGACTATATAGTCTCAGTCCTTGCACAGGAGGAGGAGGAGGGGCGGAGGGCCTATTGTTCTCTGTGGGAACACAAAGTGGAAGGTTCTAGAAGCCGGGTCGAAGGCAGAACCTGTGGAGGGAGGACTTTTGGGTTTCTGGGTCTCCATGCCCTTCTCTCCTTAACGTGGAAACATCTCCAGAAGTCTGGTGAACAATTACAACAACAAGCTCTTAAGGCATCTATACAAACACACCGAAGCACTTTTTTTCTGGGGGTAGGGTGGGGATGCAGTTCAAGACAGGGTTTCTCTATATAACCCTGGCTGTTCTAGAACTCCATCTGTAGACCAGGCCGGACTCAAACTCAGAGATTCACCTGCCTCCGCCTCCCGAGTGCTGGAATTAAAGGTGTACACCGCCAGCACCCAACTGAACTATTTAACTAACATTGCTTTAAAAAATAATCACAGATTATCTGATGAGTCAGTTAGCAAGGTTCTCCCTGATCCAATGCTCAAAATCAATCCAGCTTCCAGTGCTGAAAGCTCTTTGGAACTTCCTAAACTCAGCATGTTTCCTGAGTTCCCAAGAAAACTCTTCTAAACCCTGCTTTCTTTCTTAAACACCCCAATAAATGAAAAGAATTCTCCAGGCCCTCTATTACTCTTTTTTCCTCCTTTTAAAAAAGAAACTTCAGTGTTTAATTGGAAAACATTATGAATGAAAACTAAAAGTTTAATTCATTACAAAGCTAATTTAAAGTAAAAGGCAGCATAGACATATTTTTATGTCTGTCTTTTTCATCATTCCAGTAAATTTTCTCTTCAAGTCAGAATCAGTGAAGTTTAATTGACTTTGTCCATATCTGTACAAATAATCAAAAGAGGCTTGTATGCTTTTTGTTTTCTATTTCTATTTTGTTTCGAGACGGGGTCTCTCTATGCAGCCCTGTCGCTGAAACTCACTATGTAGACCAGGATGGCTTCAAACTCACGGATATCCACCTGTTTATGCCACCAAGCCTGACCATAAATAATCACAAAAGAGGATATTAAAGAAAAAATGGCCCTAGTCAAGGAATGGTTACGCAGTTTTATGTACACTGACTCAAAGGAATCCTGAAACCATTGGCTGTGAAGGCAGCAGCTGGTTTACAGAAGACGCCTGGGGCTCTCACCCCATCACTAGGGCAGCTCGGGAAACATGACTGAATCCAGCATGCATCCTTCTGTTTCCACAGCAATTCTGGGAGCAGCACAAGATGCTTATTCCTTAGTCTTGGCTCAAATTTCCCCTGACACTTTGTGTTTGGCTGTGGACAAGTTATGCCTCTCTGAGCCCCTTTCTCTAGGCTCCTTCAGAAGGTGGTGGTGTGACTCGTCCATGCGCCAAGCACAGTGCGGAACCCGGCAGGCAGGTTCTCATTAGGGCCTGATTTCTCTCCCCATAGAAACAAAAACAGTCCCGGTCAGAACAGAAGTCCATGGGAGAGCCATGTCATAAATTCTTATTTATTTATATACTACCCACATTTATGAATCAGAGGACAACTTAAGAGAATCAGTTCTCACCTTCCATTATGTGACTCCCAAGGATCAAACTCGGGTCCTCAGGCAGGAGTCATCTCCAGAACCTCCCCACCCCCCACCCCCGTTTGCTTTTGTGGGAGTGGTGGAGCTTTTTCTTTGGGACAGCTTTTTCTTTTTTAATTCTTGATTCTTGCTTTATAAAGCAACTTTCAAGAATGTGTCTGGTTTGTACATAAAAGAAACATCTCTCCCCCCATGTGGAGTCTAGTCTTTGCAGAGGACAGGCGGATTTAGGGCTTGCCTTGTGGAAGGGATGATGTAATTGTTTGGGCTTTGTATTTATCAGTCTCCAAGGAAACTCAATAATGAGGAAATACAAACTAGGTATGTAACTATGTTGACCTCAGATAAGCTGGGGTGTTGGTTAGCTTTATGTGAACTAGCAGATCTTTTTAATATCCATGAACTCTGTTCTATTTGTCTGGTTAAGAAAAGAAGTGGGAGGTGGGAAGATTTTTCTATGAATAAAGACAAAACTACACTCAAGCTGGCCTTTATAGTAATTTGAATAGTATTTTTTTTAGTCTGAAAATGATCTTCAGAACATCAGCATTGAAGGAAAAGTATAATAAAGATATGAATAATAATTACCTCAAGTGAAAAATGAGCATTTGGGACCAAGTTAAACAAAAATCATACGAAAACTTGACACATCAAAATTTAACACGTACAGTAAATTTAATAAGTGGCTAGACTACCAGGGAAACTGAAATTAACTCTGGCATGATTTAAATTTGTTTATACAACTAGCAGTCTGCAGAATAACATTTTATGAATTTCCTTATAGGGCTTACACAGAACAACATGTTCGCATCAGTTTCGACATGGCAGAGGCAAAACAATCCTCAAAACGACTCGGCATTTTAAGTATGATTGCCAATGCATTAATAGAAAAAACTGTAACTACATTTCCAAAATTTTAATGGAACCCCTTTAAGAAATAAAGACTTGTCATCAACCATTCAATTTATACACACCAAGGCACCATGGGAATTCAGTTTCATATGAATTATATGTACTATACTATGCATAAGATAGCTGAGTATGTATTAATTTTTGATTGCTATTTCTTTATAAAAACTAATGTCTCAAACTTAGAAAAGAAAAATCCAATTTCAGATCTTATTGAAAATTGAAAAAAGTATGAGTTTACTTACTCACTTTTTTTGGCTTGTGGTATGTGCATGCAGGTGCACTCACCCCTGCGAGTGTGTGTGGAGGCTGGAGGGTGATATGTGATGTCTCCTCCATCACCTCTCCCCATTTTAGACACAGGGTCTTTCAATGAACCTGAACCTTAGCCTCCGGCTGACCTGGCGGACCAGCTCTCATTGACGGCGTTGCAGATGGCCACAGTCTTGACCAGCTTTGATACACAGGTGCTGGAAATTCAAACTCAGGTCCTTGTGCTTGTATAAAAGCACTCACGCCATAAGCCACTTCCTTCGGCCCCTCACTTATTGATAATTCATTTATCCAACAGAGAACATACTTTGTTATGAGCAACATGAGGAATTTTACCAAGATGTCCTAAATATTTCTCTATTTATTTCAAAACATACCCACACCGTGCAGATACCTTAGAAGATGCAACTAAGGGAGAAGTGAAAGAAAACACCTACAAGCAGCCATCTACTGGGAGATTTATTTATAAACATGGGGTCTCAGGACAATCCACTGTTCCAGAAAATTCTATTTGAACAACGAGCAATGCAGTGACTCCTTACTATATGTTTTTAAAGATTAACCGCAACCTCATTTTAACTAATTTTATTTAATATCTATCTTCAAGTTTCACTGTAACAAGAACAACAGATTCCCACCTCAGGATTCACAGGGAAAAAAGGGTTTACTATTAAATCCCCCTCTGTTTCTATAACTGCTTCGGACCTAAACGCATCATCATCGCTGGATGATTCTTTTGTGTCTAAATGCTATAAGAGCCGAATTAGCTCTCCGATTCACTAGAGTCCTACCACCGCTACTTGCAGGATGGCTTCTGCCCTCTTCTCTCATTGCCTGCCTCTACTCCTAGCTTCCAGCCCAGGGCATGTTCTTGCCCTGGGGTTTTCCAGACCTTTCCTCCGGCAGTTCCCTTACGGGAAGAACTGAACTTGAGCCAGATCCCAGAGCAAAGACAGTGGGAGGCTCTCCCAGCCACTTGATCCCCAGGCCTCCAGTGCAGGAAAAACAAGGGACTAGGGGAACAATGCCCAAGCAGGAAAGCAGCTGGCAGAGGAGGGACAAAGATAAGCACTTACTTGGGGTTCTGATGCTAAATTCATCTTGTATGGATGACGTTTCCCCTCCTCACTCACCAAAGGAGACCAAATTTTTTGCTCAGACCTGCAACAAATGAACAAAGCTGGTGTTTCCTTTTATTTGGTTTCACTTCATTCTGTTTTGCAGTGCTGATAATCAAACTCAACATGGCACACGTGTCAAGCCAGGGCTCTACCACCGAGCAACACCCCCAGCCTAAAGCCGCTTGCTGTTTCATTCATGTGAAATAAAGAACTAAGTTCAACCTCTGTATCTGCAGGTTCTGCTTAGTCATTCAGTTGCAGACAGACAACTCTGTATCTGTGCATTTACTTTGTATCACAGGTAATCCAGAGGCGACATAAAGAATGCAGGACGAAGCCTATCAGAGCATGTAGGACGATGCCCATGGAGAGAATGTCAGAAGAGACTTGGGTACTCACACATTTTGACATCCACAACAATTCTGGGGACTGACCCCCCAGGCACCAAGAAGCAACTGTACAAGCTAAAAGCAAATTAGAAAAATGTTCCCTTTTCCTTAACTTTTACCCTCTGAACTTGTACCCTGCCATCAGACCAACCCTCTATTTGTCAGTTAGATGGTATCCATGTTGGACAGCTCCTACAAGAGCCTTAAGGGACCCTTCTGATCTAGCCTCAAACTCGCTCGCTACAGTGTGGGGAATTGACATGGCCACCAGGCTCCTCTGAGTGGCTAGATCTGCCTCATGCTGCCACCTCCATTCAGGATGGTGTAGACTTCAACTGTATGTTGGCTCAGTGTTCTTAGCCTGGACCATATCACCAACATACTTATCAATCAAGGAACCCTTTTTTCGGTTTTGCAAAGGATCTCTTCCTGCCAATCACAGAGCAATGGTCTTAGTCCAGTTTCAGTTTTCATTAGCATAGGGCCTTTTCTCTCTTCAAGGCAGAGAACATTTATACTTTACTTTGTATCCATCACAGTAACCAGTGACAGAACCTACTAATAAATGCATGAATGACCTGAACATGAGTTTGAGGGAGATGACATGGGCTGAGAGAGAACAAGAGACAAGAACAAAAGGCTGTAATGAAATGGTTTGCCTCCCACAGAGTAAGCAGAGCTCCAAAAGGAACAAAATATTCCAGCATTTCTCATCCACTCCTGGTCTGTCTATCAATCCAATAGCACAAGTAGGAGAAAACGGGTTACCAAGTGTACTTCACAGATGAGAACCTTAGGAAGAGCTATACAAGCTACGGTTAGTGAGCCATTAAATAAAGCAGGCTTACACAGCAAAAAGGACCTGAACTTGATCCAACAGGAACTAGGAAGCCACTCAGAGTTGAGCCAATCACTCCTGACATCTTGGCTTTGTGCAGCCAATTCCAAGACCATGTGAAAGAAGAATGGAAATTCTACCCTAATTACAGCCTCCAAGGGGGCTTCCCTCACCTGCCTGCTCAGTGCCTGTACTCCTTTCTTGGAGTGCACCTGAAGCTGCACTTGGCACTTTGTCTAACAGGCTCAGGTCCTCCCCTGCTGCTGTGATCTCATGACAAGACACCCACTATTCAGGGTCCAACCCAGTGTTTAGCTTGTTTTACCTTCTCAGGATCTTCGTTAGCTGTGTTAGATCAAGTGAAGTGTAAGAGAAAGAGGTCTAGATGACGAGAAGTCCTAGGAAAATCACAGAAGAAAGGAGCAACCTCAAAGTCCGAAGCCACAGGCCTTCCGGAGTGCTTCCATCACGCATAGCACAGAGCCGGGGAAGCACCCGGGCTTCTGGGATGGGGGAGGCAGATGCTGTCCACAACAGCTTCCAGTCCATCAGGAATGAACTAACCCTTCCACAGCCTCACCTGGATACGGTGAGTGTCATGTTGTCTGTACAGCCCTTGATTTTGTTCTGAGCTTCCAAGTGTGTCATACTGCTGGTATCTTCTCCATCGATGGCTGTGATTAAATCTCCAATACATAAATTAGCTATAGCAGCCTTGCTTCCGGGAGTGACCTGGCAACAGAGGGGAAAGCACATTAGCTACTATTTGTCTTCAGGGAAACCAAGGAGTAAATACCATCGGGTTAAGTATTCACTAAGAAAGATCAAAGCATGGAAAAAGGACAGCTTGGCACGGTGGCACACACCTATGACCCCAGCTCCCGGGAAGTTGAAGCAGGAGAAAATTTGAGGCTAGCCTGAGCTATGTAGTGAGTTTGAAGGCAGCCTGGGATATATAAGAAGACTCTGCAAGGATGAAAGAAAGAAAAAGAAAGAGCAGGGACAGAAGTGCCCAAGAAACCATGCTAAAATCATAATTTAACTGGCAGCAATCCTTCATGTTCATGCAATCTGTTACTCAGTCCTTTCCTGTATATCACCTCATTGTCTCCTTAAAACAACTATGAGAAAGGAGAATGAACACCAGAAACTGAGGCTCAGAAAGTCTGATGACCTCCCCAGGGTCACCCAATTAGTACATGACTAGCCACTCAGCTAGCCCGCTGCAGACTCAACCCTGAGCCTCACTCTAATACTCTGACCTCAAAATAAGTCACCAACACGTTGTTTGTTTGTTTGTTTGTTTTGTTATGGTGGCTGTGGTTGTTTTTACTGATTCTTTGTGGATTTCACATCATGCATCCCAATCCCACTCATCTCCCTGTCCCCTCGAACCCTCTGCCCTTGCAACCTCTCACCACAAAACAAAATACAATTTAAAGAAAACCCAAAAAAGCCAGACAAACAGAAGAGAAAAAGAGAACGATAAAGAAGATGAAGATGAAGGAAGAGAAGGAGGAGGAGGAAGAGGAAGAGGAAGAAGGGGAAGGAGGAGAAGGAGAAGGAGAAGGAGAAGGAGAAGGAGAAGGAGAAGGAAGCAAGCTGTAGTGTGGCCCGGTGAGTCACACAGTTTACGCTTTAGTCCATACATCTTGCAAGTGTTCACTGCTATGAGTCAATGGTCTGGTTTGAGGCCTCTGGCTTCTGCTACACTATTGATAATGGCTCTCACTAGGACTCCTCTTGGATATCCTGTTGTCCTGTGTCATGGAGATTTTTCAGTATTGGATCTGTAGATTGTTCCCTTTCACACGCTCCAGCAGTTCATAGATAAAGTGGATGCCAGAGTGGGCTAACTCATAGCCCTGGTTCTGAGCCTGAGTGGCAGCCGGTCTGGTCAACCCCCCAGCTTTCTCTTGCCCTCACTTCCTGGGGCAAGTTCTCCAGCACTGCCTCAGCTAGCTCACCCGATGCAGCCTGCAGCAAGGAGTAGGGCCAGTTCTCCTGCTCTCAGGGCCTCAGATCTGGCTCACCTGTACACACACCACCAGGGCCAGCTCTATTGTTTTGCTCAGGCAAGGTGTAGGGCCCTCTCTCCTGATTGCTGTTGGGG